AGGGGCTAATAATCCAAGAGGATCGAAAAGTCGAGCAAAGACTGACAATATGTTTCGTTTAGTGGGTCGCAGATCTGTAAAATTGACATGCAAAAAAAATCAAAACAAATCCTCTTTCGGCAACCAATTAATTCCTAGTGTTTTAGTTAAGTTTTTGTCATTGAAGCTTAATGACATTTCAGTGCAGTCACTGTCGAAAAATTTAAGGTGGTTAGAAAACCAATTCTTTAAGGTGAATCCAGACCAGTTTAATATTTAAATTACCTTACTTCTTATAAGATGTGGAGGCACAAAATTTTCAGATCCTGTTAATAAGTCATCAACATAAAAGTCTCTTTTAATGGCCAATGAACCGAATGGATACTTAGTTGTATTAACATAGCTGATCATTTGTAAACACCCTGTTGCGAGAAATGGTGCAGGTGCAGTGACGTAAGTGACAGCGGTACATTTTAGTAATGTCTGCCGTTAAAGCGTACTTATGTAAGCGGAAACGAAGAAGAGTTGAGTACAATTCTTCTTGGATGGTTGGACCTACCATCAAAAGTTCATTTAATGCTATGTGAGATGAAGTACGACTCGAAGCGTCAAAGACAATACGTAATTTTGTTGTTGTGCTCTCGGGCCATTGATGTGGAATGAAGTAGTGTGGCTCACTCGAGATTTTATTGTTCGTTGGGCTCATGTGACCTAGTGTTCTGTATTCATTTATACAGTCCATATACATTTTGCGATGTTCTGGGTATTTTAATGTTCTCTCTTCAGGAATTGAAACCGCCGAACTGCGTACTTGTAGCTCACGCTTGAGTTCGACCACTGGATTGTTAAATAAAATAAATTAATTTGAACAACTTAACCCTTATTACACGTTATTCGAGTTTACAACTAATTGCTTATAGCTCTTTACTCTGCTGCTCAATCCGGCAGCCCTTATATAGTAATTGTTACCAAAACATCGCCACTCGAACATTCTGGCAACTACGAATTTAGCTATCTAGTTGGTTCTAGAAGTTTATCGTTGATTCTATTTTGTTCTGGCGTTCGTGTTCACCACACTGCCCTCCACCTAAGTCTGATCGACCTAATTTTACATATTTGCGGTACCAAGTCCTGCAAGTTGTTCCAGATAAACTACCTTCCTTTTATTCCTAGATCTTCTAATGGTCTGTATGCGATACACTACACTTTGATTCGTTTAATTACGTAGTATGGTCCTTGTCAACCACACTGTAATTCGAAGATCATTACCAAACCTTACCCTGGCTGGAGTCTGCCCCGTTGTTTCGTGTACAGCGGACCGATCAACCATCAGGAACAAGGATATATAGATATCCCAATCTTTTTGATACTTGTCCACAACTCTCCTGAAATGTTCTTCCAAAGTTCGATGGCATCGTTCTACCATGCCATCGGACTGCGGATGTAGTGCAGTACGGGCAGTTTTTCGGATACCCAGTTTCTGGCACATCTCCTGAATTAGAGCTGATTCAAAATTTCTCCCATGATCAGAATGTAATTCCATTAGAAACCCATATCTCGATACCCAATTGTTGTTGAATACATCCGCTACTGTTCCTGCCTCTTGGTTATCAATTGCGTATATCGCTGGTCATTTGCTAAAATAGTTCATGACTACCAAAACATATCTGTTTTCTAATTTACCAATATGAAATAGACCAGTTACATCTATGGTAATTCGCTCAAACGGCGCACCCGAATTGTACTGCTTCATCTAACCATGACTCTTGAACCTCAGCCCTTTAGCAGCAGTCCACTCCGTAACTGATTGGCGACAACCAACCCAATAAAATTTTTTATTTTTAATTTCTCCAAGGCTTTATTGTTACCCATGTGTCCTCCACTTGGACCAATGTGCAGCTCATTGAGAACTTCAGGAACTCCTACTTTTGGAACAATCATCAGAGCCCGGAAACTTTGCCCATCTTCGCTTTCCCATACAAGATGCAAGCAGCCAGACACTATCTTTAAACTATTCCATTGTGCCCAATATGCTTTTGCGACTGGACTTTCTTCAGTGTTCATTTCTTCCCTCTTGGGACGTTTATTTATCTCCAATCCATGTATTACACATTTCCAATCTAAATATTCTTGCTGACATTTCTGTAGTTTCCCTAGATCGCAGTCAGATGTAATTGTCTTAATCCCAAACTACCGGGACGGGGCGGGGAATCGCACTCCCATAACCATGGCTACTACCATTTTGACGTTCTGTAGAGAAGTCGTAACATTGGAGTCTCTCAAACCACCGTTCCAACTGTCCTTCTGGATTCCTGAATTGAGAAGCCGTTTTCATGCTGCATGATCTGTCCTTACGTGAAAACGTTGGCCATAGAGGTACTTGATAAAATTATAAATAATTAAAGGTAATATTTGATGCATTTCACCAATGCCAGTAACTTACACAACAATTTCTTTCTGGCTTGCTTATGTCTCGCTGTAATACGCAACCACTTTCTCATATTATACCTGTCAATGACTTGTGATAGAACGGCTCCTACTGCATACCCACTAGCATCCGTATCCAAAATAAACGCTGATCCTGGGACCGGTATGCTTACATTAGTGTAGTACTTAACCGTTTCTTCTGAGTTTGAAAAATCACTTCCTACCCTTTATTCCACTGAAAGACTCTTTTCTTGTAAAATTTGGAACGAATCGTCGATAATAAGTACACAGTCCAAGCAAACTCCGCAATTCATGTAAATTTTTAAGAGTTGGCCAATTTCAATCTTTTCATTAGCAAATGCCCTTCTTTGTCACTTTGTGTTCTAAGTAGCTTACTTCTTCTTTGAAAAAGGAACACTTCTGTGGACTCAGCTTTAGACCAGCGATTCGATTACGCCGCTTTCTCTGATTTCACGTATGGTTTGGCTTACAACTTTACGTTTTGCTAAAGGAACGCTTCGAGGAGCCTCACAGATTGGTCTTGTATTACCTTTAAAAAAATGTTACATAACTTTGGTTCTTTCTGATATGAAATCGTCTTTATTAAATATAGTTGAGTATCTTAGATCGTCGGTCCATGCGTTAATTTCGATCGATATGTCGTTTTCGCACATGAAATCTTTCTCAAGACGTATTTACGTTTATTTACAATTTATCATGGCCTCAATCTCCTGACATTTCCTTCATATAGCTCCTTTGGAAAGTTTGATTGCTGACTTGTACTCATTAAGTACTCTTACTGGAACACGTTCTTCTTGTCTTGTATTAGCGAGGGTTTTGTCTATAAGTAAGTTTGGTGTAGATTATTCTGTGGCTTCAACAACCCAAAATTTATTTGTCCCATAATCTCCATCTAATTCTGCCCAAATAACTGTTATTATCACTCGTGTAATCTTGTACTTGTTATCATAACCGACCACAAGTGGCACCTCCATATTTGTATACGTGATAATCCTGTGCTCCATATAAATTTTTATATCTTGATTTGCTAGAACGTTACGTTAACGTTACTCGTATTCCTTCTTATTTGGAAAATTACGGGGCATTTGCTTGCGGGATCCTGCCCGTGCCCTTTTCAGCTGGTTCGCTTTAGTTTAACGAATGGGTCGATTTGACATTTGCTTGATCTTCCTCAGCTTTGCGTTTACGTCCAATTGAATTATTGGAATGGTTAGTGGGGCGTGCAATATGACCACTTTTTCTGCAGTTGAAGAATTTAACCACACCAGAATTTTTCTTACGCATTTTAGTAGGTTTTTCTAGTACTTTCTGCATTTTTGTTTTCAACTTTTTCAAGTAATTGCTTCACCCAGGGGTGATCTTCTAATTATACTTGATAAGATTTCAGTGTTCGATTGCTAAGCAAAGATGCAGTTTCCTGTGTCAAAGCAGGAAAAAATTTCCGCAAACGTCAGCGAAGCGTGTAGTGTAATCTCGTATTCCATTAACGAGGGTCTGAATTTTCGTGTCCTCGATGAACTCCACGGATTTATGTGCATACGTTATTGAGCTAAACTCTCAATTTCTATAGGAAACTCCTGCAGAGACCATTGGCTTGCTGGCGGCATTTTGTTTTTGTAACTCGATTTGGAAGATCTGCTTCCTATGGTCACTACCACACCGTCGTGTTTCTAATGCCCATATCAACGTTTCATAACTACTCCACTCGCAGTTTGGAATATTTGTAATATTTTCGCTGCAGATCTTTTTGATGATTTATTTCAGCGTTCCAATTTTTTGAAGATGCTGTCTTTTCGAATTGAAGCTTAAATGCATGGAACGCAACTGTGCCATCAGAGGATGGATGTTTTACTTTGACAGAAGCTGTTGACATAAATCGCCGATTCAATTACAACTCGCGGAGACGATCTTTCAATTCATCCAGTTCAATTTTAATTTTATCCCGCTATCCGAAATCTGTGAGGACACTTTTCCTATTTGTGAGGTCACCTGTGCTGATATGCGTGCATCTTGAGCCGCAAACTGCTCTTCCAGCTGTGTTGACAACCGAGTTTCTAACGAGGGCAATTGAGATTGTTGGGAAATTTACATTTGTGATAACACCTCTGCTATTTGTTGGGCCTTACGTGCATCCTGCTTTTGCAATTGTGTCTATATTTAACGTCTGCGTCAATTCTGTAGTCTGTGTTTATATCTGCGACATTGCAGCTAAAAGCGTGTTGATGTCCACAATTTTCGACGAGCATTGAACTTCTTCCTTTTCTTCTATTTTCGTAGTCTCTTTCTCTAATTGCATTTACAAGACATATTCCTCAACATTAATGTTTTCTACTTCCATCGCTTCGCGTAACCGTGATTGTAATCCAAACTTTACTCCATTTCTTGCCAAACATCGTTGCTCCAGCTCCTTTTTCAGTTGTGGAATCTTCAGATCTTTAAACTTTGCCATTTTAAAATAATTTTCTATTTGGGAATTTATTTGACAATCCCACCTTTGACACTAACTGTAACATATTTCTCGATTAATTGTATACCTTGTAACTCACTCTCGTGTTCGATCATTAGATTGTTAAATAAAAGTCCCAATTTAATGGCTATACACTTATTTTTATTTATAATTTAAACAACTTAACACTTATTAATCGTTATTCGAGTTTAGAACTTATAGCCCTTTACTAAGCAGCACTCTAATTAGAACTGTTCCTGCTGCACAATCCGGCTGCCCTTATATAGGAGATTGTTACCAAAACATCGCCATTCGAACATTCTGTTAGTTGGTTCTAGTAGTTTATCGTTGATTATATTTTGTTCCACAATCGGATTATTATTATTTTATGCACAAGGTTATTAGAGAGAGACGCTTTATACGGCACTGAAATCCACATGTTTGGTGTCTGGAGACTTGAAAAGCTATTGTCTTATTTCGACTGGACGTTAAATGGCATACCTCAGAAGCACTATTCGTGCAAGGTTTTATTCCCATCATCTTATTGCAGCTTGATTTATATTGGTAAATTGACCTTTTCATGTGGACTTTAAAATTTTGTTATATGGAAAGTAGGAGTGATTGTATTCAAATTTGGACCATTTTTATTATTTTCAGCCCCCAGATGCCCCTTTCCACTGCGATACCTTGTACCAAATGACGCGTTTTGTATCCTACTTTGCAGTTTAGTTATAGCCCTTTATATGTTTTGCTTAAGGTCATTTTGTGGTCGTAGCAATGGTCGATTCCGCCCTGAAAATAATGTCACAAAGAGCTTACAAACAAAATTTCATGTTGCCACGCCTTTTATTGTGGGCGGTAGAGAAAGTTGCTTGTGAGCAATATTGAGCTATGGTGGTATAAGTTGAAATTTAAAGAGTGGAATGTGCCTTAGTTTTTTTGAGTACCCAGGAATTAACTACAGATGTGCCGAAACACCAACAGTCTCATATACCACTTCTTTGAGCGGTTATTAACTTTATACAGTTCCATTAGCATGTCTGAAAGATATTCTCCTCCCATATATTTATTAAAGCAGGCGACAATATCAGGCCTAGGAATCTTTAAATACTTTTCTGTGCTCCAATATCCGCAATTTCCAATTAGTTCAACTCCCATATAAGACGATATAAATTGAACCGACTTGTTATCAAACTACAGAACACATATTAAATTGTGATGTATTCCACATTTATTGTCATAGAACCCTCTTCCACGTTTTTTCAATTTACAATCTGAAATCAATTCGCACAGTGTCGGTTCCAAATATACCAATTTCTTTTAAATCTAGTAGAAGACTAGTTGTCAAAATAGAGCTAAAAATTTTGGTGCTTTGAAAGATTGTTGGTTAAATAAGTAAATGACTATGTCTGAAGAAATTCCCAAGCCATATAATAGACAGGTTCCCTCACCAACATAGAGGGCAAAATCATATACCATTCCAGACGTTCCAGCGCGTGTGAACCTTTTCATCCCCAACTTATGGGGCCTTGCGGGATTATACTGCTTCAAATTCAATAGACTCGTAATGAATGAGGACTTGAGTAAAATATAACGACAGGGACTTTTCCACTCACAATTGAATGTAATTATTTGCTCGTCAATACTTTGGTGCTCTTTTTGGTTCAGAACTTTTCCTTTAGATCATTTAACAAAGTCATAATTTGGACTTCCCTTTTCAGGGTAAACAGTGTTGCACGGGTTTTGCGTTGACACCTTTCAATATACTTGTCATTACTGACCGAAACGAAGGGAAATTAAAACAAACAAAAGTTAAACTTATTAGTGATTTTACACATAAATAGTTTCGTGAAATCAAGGAATCGTTTAAATTGTAAAACTACAACAGTTTTTAATTGTCTTTTGGAAAGTTCCTCGTGCGTTTACATTTAATTATATAAAACTTCAAACTGTGTTGGGTTTGTTTGGGTTTGTTATTATTTTTAGAATGTTCTTTACCTAAATAAATTATTTCAGGAAATTGAAACTACAAATAAGCGTTATGAACTTACATTGTTTGTCCGTTCGGTTTACTAGTTTGATAACGAATCAAAAACTTGTTAAATACAGAAGTTTGACAGTAGTTTACGCAGTACAGGGTACCGCGATTTCGAAGGGGAAAAACGAATGCTCAAAACGAAATATCCAATGCGCTTAACGCCTTTCAGTTTTGCATTTTTGCAATAGCGAACATTTCCTCTCGCGCAATGCCTTACAGAGTAACCCCCCAGACTGTTTGCCATTATCATTAAAGTGAAGGCCCTCCTTAAACTTTTCAAAGCTATTTTTTGATAGAGTTTAAAATTGAAGTAAGATTCCGGCCTGCGGACAAAGCAATTTTTAATTGGGGCAATTTTAGAACACCGAGATAAAGCAGAACTCCAACATTATTTCCTCGTGGATGCATTTAAGTTCAGTACCAAACTTTTTAAGGCTAAACAAATTTCTTTGATTCATGATAAGATCAATTGCTTCGTGTAAAATGAAATAATGTTTCCAAATATTGCCTCTAACCTCAAATGCCTTTGATCTTCACTCTAAGAAATTATACAAAATTTTTCAATGCTGCATTGTTGTTTTTCTTCCAACGAGTCTCTTCAAAAATTTCTTTCAAAAGTTGTACTTCAATGCTCTCTGCGCTTTTAACAATGTCTTCATGTTTTGCCACAACATCATCGAAACATCTTTTTCATCATCTCCATTGTATTAATCACTCTAAACATCCCAGTCCAACTGTAAAGTTTAAGTTAATTTCGTTTTGAGAAAAACCTTTCTCTTTTAGACGCATAACTGAAAGCAAAAATTTTTAATACCACTATGGACCAAAGTTACCTACAAGTAGCTTTTGGGATTGAAAAAATCCTCACTTAACATAAATCCAATAAATATTATTCAATATTTTTGACAAAAAATGTATTCTTATTTTGTTATTAAAATAAATTATAATAATTGGATCGATTCTAGCAGACGGTTGCACATTCCCGTTCACAAATTTGCAATGACGTTGCTGCACCATGTTAAAGAATAACGCAAAAAAAATTGTTTACTGTTTTGATACTCATTCCTAATATATTAATCCATTAGAAGCCACTTAGATCAGAAAAAAAATTTAACACAGTAACTTTATTTAATCATTAAATCTCTCTCACATAAAAAAAAAAAATTTCTAAATTTCTAAACGTAGGAGGATTTCGGCGAATTCGTAAAGCAACAACGGTATTCCTAAAAATCACCAATCATGCCTGCCATATCTTCAAAGAAAGACTGTAAAATCTGCACTACATTTAAGAGGTTAAAGGTAAGGATATACACGGATGCATTATCAGGTTGAGCTGATACCGCTATGTTCACATTTTGCCATATGCTCCTTAAACTAATCAAAAACCGACAATTGCTACTCAGCAGTTGTATTATTGTACAATATCAGTACTTTTTACTAAGTTTGCTTACCTGGTTCTAGAAGTTTCTTTATTGTCCATTTTGATAAAATTTACAGTTTCGCAAACAATATCTCAACTTTATTGGTTTGAAATTTCGTTTTAAACTAATCAGATGATTTTTTATTATTTTTATACCCTCGCAACCTGTTGCTACAGAGTATAATAGTTTTGTTCACCTAACGGTTGTTTGTATCACCTAAAACTAATCGAGTTAGATATAGGGTTATATATATAAAAGCTCAGGATGAAGAGACGAGTTGAAATCCGGGTGACTGTTTGTCCGTCCGTGCAAGCTGTAACTTGAGTAAAAATGTAGATATCTTTATGAAACTCGGCACACATGTTTCTTGCTACCGTGAGACGGTTGGCATTGTAGATGGGCGTAACCGGACCAATGCCACGCCCATAAAACGCCATTAACCAAAAACAAATAAATTGCCATAACTAAGCTCCACAATACGATAGAATACTGTTATTTGGTATACAGAATCACATTAGGGAGGGGCATCATAGTTTAAAAATTCGTTTAAAGTGGGCGTGGTCCCGCCCTCTAATAGGGACACTAAAAACGTCAAGATATTAAATTTTATTTCTGAGATGGTATGAGATGACTTTATAGGAACCACGTTCAAAATTAGACAGTGGGCGAGGCACCGCCTATTTTTAGGTGAAATCCCATATCTTGGGATCTGCTTCTACATAACATTCTTCTCATATTTCTATGTTATAGTGCGAAATAACACATAACACCATTTTAAATTCCATCTGATCATTTCACTTTCCACTATGCAAACCAAGCAAAATATATAAAGAAATCTCAAACTAATATACTGTTTGACTTTGCGAGAGTATAAAATGTTCCGTTACATCCGAACTTAGCCCTTCCTCACTTGTTCAAATCGTAATTTTTTAGGATGGTAACTTTATTGAAACTTTAACTGAATCAGCGACAAACACTTTATTATTCATTATCTGATTTTTACTTATAACTCATTTACTCATTAGTCATTATACAGTAGATCGTTACATCTACATCGCCACTGGAGCCATTTCGCTATCTGGTTTATTCTCTCAAATTATCGTTGACTCTGTTTTATTTTGGCATGCGTGTTCACCACAATATTGTTATTGGATTATACCGGCAATTTTGTTTTTGTAAATAATATTTGTACTGTATTCAATAGTTTATTATAATGGTCTTTAATGTATACATAGCAACGCGAATCTGTTAGTACTTATATATTTATAATACCTATAAAGCAATAATTTTAAACTACAATATTACAAATAAATTTGTTATTCATTTTTTTATTTTTCGAATTATTTAAAAATTTATTTCGAATTATCTTGGTTAGTGGCACCAGATATGAACACCAGCAAAACAACAGGCACAATATACATCCACTGGAAATAAAAGAAAAGTAAATAATTAAATTTTTTTTTGTATGAATTGTATTTTCAAGTATCGCTGATTTTGATACCAAATCGCCTATTCTGCAGGGATATAATTAATTTTACATTTTTGTAGAACTTTCAAAATACTTGGTTGCATAAATAAAATGTGTGCAAAAATTCGTAAAATAAAATACTAACAAATGGGAAGAATGAAAGTCATTGGAAAGCAAAGTAATTATGTTAAGTAGATTTCTTTGAAATATATGCATTAACAACTACTACTGTTTAATATTGGGCTTTTTCGGTAATGCAGAAGAACTGGCAACTCTGCGCAGTTTTCACTGCTGATTTAATGCTGGCATGAAATTGTTAAAAATTGTGCATTTGAAAATTTGCGTTGCGGAATATTCCTTACAATTCTCTTAATGACGCGTTATGGTAGATAGTAAAATAAAAATTATCAATTTCAATCAGAAAGGTACAAAAAGAGAATGAATCGTATAAAAAAAAAATTAATTGCGAATAACTTTAAGGTCAGACGGAATATTCCAAAAGTAGTAGCTTTAGTGCACTTGACGCAATCGCTTCTTCGTCTATCCTGTAAAAAGTTGCTTTATCGAACTGGTTACTTCATGTAGTTTGCAGTTTGCATTACCGAAAAATCCCATTGTCAATTTTGAAAGAATTTAAATATTAGTTTATAAAAATGTTCAGTATATGCACAATATTACAAGCATAAAAATTATTCTCATATTGGGAAATCAATAGATTAAAAATTACAACAATATTTTTCAAAACTGTAATTCTACTGAACTAATAACAAAGTAATGGCAAAGCTAAGTAAATGCGAGCCAATGTCAGGCAGCAGTGAATGAAAGGCGACAGATTTTTGCCCCGTTCGCTTCGAATGAGCCCCGCGATCCAGATCAGCAAGTCAGCTTATTTGCTAGGATTATTTTCCCCCGGGTTTGTTGTAAATGCTGTTGTTGGGAGCCAATGTGAACCAAGTGAGCTACGGCGTGAGTACCTCTGCTTTATACTGCGCTCACTTAACGCCATTACTAAATTTTGCTTCATATTCAAGATATTTATTTTCATATCAACCCAAACACCAGAAATCATTACTACAACAATAACGAACGACAATATTCTAATCGAAATACAGGTTGATTGAAAAGTTGGTTGGTCTAACCAAGAAATGCTCTACTAGCTCCAAATTTTTGTCTCTAGTGGGTACATCTGACGTGCGAACACATGAAAAATTACAAGTCATTCTGTCAATTAATTCTTTGTTTACAAACCATTTGAAATTTCGGACACGTTAACTTTTTAATATAGAAAAAATTTATATCGCGCAGTGATTAGATTGATTCTTTTGAAAGATTTAAAAGCAAAGGAAATTTATGAATCGTTAGAAATGTATAAGGAATGCTCACCTTCAAAATGCACCGTTGAATTTTGGGCTGGTGAATTTAAACGTGGTCGTACTAGGCGCAACCCACCAGAAATCATTGAGCAAGTTCATAATATTGTTAGTGAAGATCCAAGTTTGAATAAGCGTGAAATTACTAATGCTATAGGCTTCTCAGACGAACGAGTACTTTATATTTTACATGGAGAAAGCTGTTTGGAAAGTTAGTTTCACACACGTTAACAATAACATTAACGTTTTAAGCAGATTAAAACCGATTTCTTGCGTCGTTTTATATCTTTTGATGATTTCATCATAATTTTTGATGAATTCAATGCACTTACTCTCAAAGGTGTTTAACCAATGACAAAATTCAACGAATTAAAGTACGAATTGCTTGAGCATCCACCGTATTCACCAGATTTGGCTCCCAGCGACTACAACCTCTTCAGAAACCTGAAACAATTCCTTCGTGGAAAGCGTTTTTCGTCGATGAAGAAGCTATTACTGTAGACGGGAATTTTGCAGAGCTTCCGGAAAGTCATTATAGGGATGGCATAAAGTTATTGGAGGATCATTGGAATAAGCAAACAAACAAAAACAGTATTTTTTTTCGTTTCGAGCGCAGAAGCTTTTCCGTTGTATTTACTATACCAAGTTTTCAGACCTATGCTCTATCTTCGCGTTCGTGTCGCCTTCGCAATCATCATTACTCTCGTATTTGAATCGTTCTCCGTATAATATATTTAGCCTTAACTCAATTTTGGGGGAAATAAATATATGTACATATTCTATGTATGAAAATATTACGATTAAACAAGGCATGTTAATAATGGGGTTAGGGGAAGATGGATAGAAAATTGGTTAGGTATGACATTTAATAATTATATTAAAAACACTAAACCAAACAATTATTTCTTACAAAAGTGAAAATAATACAAAATATACACTTGAATGAAATAATACTATGAAACTTATTCAATGTAGTTTGTATTTACTGTCAATATTTTTGTTTTCTTCTTGCTCAGCTAATTCATTGAGCTCGTCATTATAAAGACTAGCTCCTGTTTCTTGAACAATTTTTTGACGTCTTCCACATTTACTTATATAAACCGATTTTTTGCTAATTCCATTATTTCTTATTCCATTCATATCGACAAAGTGTCCAATGGCGTCGCTCCTACTTAAATCTGGCCAAAGGTTCTTCCACAATCCTTTCAATGATCTTTCTGTTATCTCATTCCAAGAAAGGTTCATATTTTTTGCAGCATTCATGATATTGTCCTTTTTCCAAACTTTTCTTATTGATTGCTTTTTTTATCCGTCTATTTTTTGAAACATCTGTTATATAAATGATGCGCCTGACAAGCTGAGTCTATTTAGCCATGTCTGTATATATGCAGACTAGTCCCTCAGTTTTTGAAATATCGAACTGAAACTTTACACACGTTCTTTTCTGCCCAAAAAAATACTAATATGCGAAACCGTCGATATCAGACCCTTATAGCAAATAGCTGAAATATAATACAAACTGAACGATCAGAACATGCCCTTGTATACAAAATTTTTTTTTGCCGAAATATCTACACGGAATTTGGCATAAATTGTTATCCAAGACAACGCTAGAATCCTCGAATTTTTTTTTTAAATTTGTCCACCAAGTCACGCTATCAAGTTCTTGGATGGAATCTTTTGTACTTGTGAAGGGTATTATAGCTTCGGTCCTACCGAAGTTAACGTTATGCTTGTTTCCTTTTTTGTTTTTAGTGAAAATAATAATAATTAATACCGGATTTAATGATATCTCAGCTTTTTTACCATCTTGATCCGGACAAAAGTTACTCCACGAGAAATCCTATTTTATTATATGAATTTTATTTTAAAATTAGGAATGAAATTGTACCGTTCTTTCACTCTAGCCAAGTCAGAATTCTTATTTCTTCTTTTCAAAAAATATGAACTTTTATGGTTATATAATATTATGTGTCGAATATATGTACAGATGTTTATATAATATATTTATTGTTTGTTTTTAAGGTCTCCGACGTATCCTTCTGTGAGTTAAAAACATCGAGAAAAAACTAAATATACCCTGCTCAGGGTATAATTATAATCAAAATGTCAATCAACATAAATTTTAAAACATAAACCTGATAAGCGTTTTAACATTGTACTAGTTGAGTGGTTATTGTTAGTTTGTCTGAATAAATGGAAATTTAGTTGATAACTTAAAACAAAACTTACATATTTAGAGAAAAATCCGCGGTTATCTCGGACATCCCCACGTTCTCTAGCTTCTCTTTCCCTTTCTAATTTTTGAATAAAGCTCGTAGTATCTGGGAAAGGTGCCATTTCTGTGTGTCGGATAAGAACATCCGTATTAAAGTCCTCCGAGCCAGATACGGATATATTCTCATAAAAGCTAAAACATAAAATAAATATGTGTATTAAAACTAAGTAAAGTAATGTAGAAATCACTGATTAATCTACGGAAGACAATACACTAAAACTTCATTTTTATATTCATTGACGTAAATAAAATGGCCGCTATAAAATCACGTCATCCCTCTTGGTAAACGCTGTATCTATGTATGTTTGTAACTTTTTTAGTGGCACTCAAATTGCATGGCACTGTGACAAAAAAAAACGAACATTTGATACGCACTGTAAAAAACAAAAAAAACAGAAAGATTAATACTGTCATTTAAATAAGAAATTTATTCAAACGAATCCTTCAAGAAAGGGAATACACCATGTGTATAATGAGCATACCACACTTTTTTCACAATAATACAAGTATTTTTTTTGTCAATATTACTGTTAGTTTATATTAAGATTTACTTTTAATTTTCAGTTAGAAGTGCTTGTTTTTGAGTTTTTTAAACTATTTTTATTTTGTCGGAATTTGAAGAAATCGATAAGGACAATCCCTATTTCCAGCAAGCCGCCTCAACTAGTTAAAACCATATTTCGTGGATTGTAGAAAATTGAATGCTCTACAAAATGGTCTTTTACGGTTTTTTCGTAAACTTAACTGTTTAAAAGATATTAACAGTTGAAGTTTGACTAACTTAAGGCAAATTTGTTTTTTTCTTTTGAATTTTATTACTCAATGAAAAATCATTATTTTAAATTGCAAAGTTCATAATCTTATAGGAAATTTACTGCTCTATAAAAATGGTCCTTTTTTCGATTTTTTTTGGTGTTTTCCTTTGAATAAAATTTCGTAAACGCTTAACTTAATCAAAAAATTATAGGTATAAACTATTGCACTGTTGTCGGACTCTGATTCTGTGTGCCAAAAAATTAAACTTGAGAAGGTAGAGTCTACACTTACGCTACTAGAAAAGAGAAACCTTATTAGCTTAAGAGGGGAAACCAGTTTAGGAGACCGAAATTCGAGTGTTTTTTTAACTGAGAAAGAATACTTAAAATTCGTTTAAACTTGTAGGGTAGTTTATTCCTATTTTGAACTACACTTTGAACTTTTTCGATGCCATTTCCGTCGGAAGTGGTGGGGATAAGGGATGGTGTCCATTGACGATCGCCATCAGAGTTGACTGCTGTCGGGACAACTGGAGGTCACAGTTTTGATCTGAAATCATTAATTTTTTTTCTTTCGTTAGTAACATATTTTCTAAGAATATGAACCAATAATAGTATCATTCCAGAGTTTGGTTCATATTTTTAGGACTTGAATAAAGGATATTCACACAAATCTTCATCGATCGATTCGTCAATAACTTTTCGAGCAAGGATTCCCGCAAGTTGAAAAAAATTCGTTTCGAGAAAAACGCATGTTTACCACCTTAGTGCTCATATCATCAGAACTAATTGAAATTTCGTTTTGAAACCTAAGCAACATAGTTGTACTAACAATTTATGCAATAAAAAAATCGTTTTTTTGGAATCATCTAAACTGGTTTCTCCCCCTGATGTTAAGCTAGTTAAAAATCGAAGACCAAATAACAGATACTGACTTTTTCTGTGGTCTATTTTGCCAGACAATCGATATCGATGAAAGAATTAATAAAAACCTTTTCCATCATCGATTATGTGAAAATAAAATGGAAATTTCAAAGGAGAAACAGCAACAAAATTACTTAGTGTTTTAACTGTCAGATGTTCGGACATGGTGCCAGTCGCTGCGTGGTTAAAACATTTTGTGCTAACCGGTAGCCAAAAAACAACAGATTGTATTGTGCAAAGTATTAAATGTGCTAATTGCAACGGTGCGCATAAAGCGTCTTTCCACGACTGTCCAAGCAGAGTTCAATAATGCCAGCCAAAACACAAGTTAATAACATGTTTTCCATTCAGGAAATTAACACAGGAAGAACTAACTTTCGAGTTAATTAAAAATTTAATTAACCGCAAATCGAGGGCCGACCAATTCGATGTTATAACTAATAGTCACAAGGAACGCCAGGGGTGACATGCTCCTTCCATCTAACAATACGCTTATTGAAAACATCGGCATTCAAATTTCAAATTCAGCTAGCGATTACACTGACATTTTTTGTTGTTACCCCCAGAAATCATGCAGGTAGAACCAACAACAAGAGGCAACAGCTTTCCACTGACATTTATGAGCGAGTAGAGGCAACAAATATATTATTGGTGGTGATTGTAGAAATCCTCTTTGGGGTTGTATTACATCCAATTGCTGAAGAGATCTATTACACGAAAAATGGTTCCATACAATTTTCATATTGTTTTATCTTGTGATCACATCCGTATACTTGCTGACAGAGGACAACAAAGCTCAACGCTAGACATTTACAAACTATGCGCCAGTATTGTCCAACACGAGCTCAATTTTGATCATTTACCGGTATCGGTTATCTTCAATCGTCGAGTCTACAACTAAAATTTTTTCAAGTTCGACTACAAAAACGCAAACTGGACAAAATACTCAAGATATATCTTTAAAATTTTACCAAAAGTCGAACTAAAATCTATTTGTAGTCCGTATAAAGTTAATGATCTCCAACTTAAATCGAGTTAAAAAAACTACAAGAGATTTAAGCATTACAAAATAAGATGTCTTAACCCTTTTGGAACATAACAAAAGTTTTATAGTTAGAAGAAATATTCATACATTCCAACGTTAAAAGATAATATAATCTGTAACAGTACTGCTAATGAAAAATGTGCGATTCTTAGTCAAATTTTTAATATGAATCACACTGCATCTGCTCATTTTTTCTCGTCACTTAACACAACAGTCCTCTGTCTTCCGATAGTTTTTATATCAGCTCTGAAAAAAATATTATAATTCTAAAGAACATAAAATCTATAAAAGTCTCCTGACATTGACAGTTGTTACAGTTGAGTTACTTCCCTGAAGCATGAAAAAAGGCTAAAACCATGGCAATAAAAAAGCCTGATAAGTCAAGAGAAGACCCTTGTTTTTACTGTCCCATAAGTTTACTTTAATCGTAGTTTCCCAGTTCATAAATATTAGTAGTAACCAGTGCTCGAAATCACAGCTGAATCAATATTTGCAGATGGTACTGCTTTTTTAAGTTCTGGGGAACTTCCTGTATATATTATATAAGGTATAGTAAAAAGAAATCCATTATTTTTGCGTGAAATTGAAGGCTTTAATTACCAAAGGTAGAATGATCCGATTTGGGCCAAATATGCTCCGATTTGTTCGATAACTTGTTGCCATTTTAAGGGTAATTTCATTATGCTTCTCTCATAGAAGCCTTCGTTCCTATTGGCAAAATTGAGACACTCGATTTCCACAAGCCTCTCTTGAAGCGAATTCTTCATCAGCGAAATTGTTCGCCATGGACAGGAACAGTAGGTAATCACTTGGTGCCAGGTCCGAACTATAAGGTGGACGTATAAGAACCTCCCAAACAAGGTTCCGGAGTTTCTGGCGAGTCACTATCGGTGTGTGTGGCCTGGCGGTGTTCCTTGGAACACAATTCCTCTCCTCTTGGCCAAAGCTGGCCGCTCCTGGGCGATTGCTTCCTTCTGACGGTCCAATTGTTGACAGTACAGTTCCGAGTTGGTCGATTTTCTTGCGATTCAGCAGCGATTCGCAGATGGAAATTCGGTCCATGAGATTTTTTTGCGTTAACTTGTGTAACACCCATACATCGAACTTCTTTTCTTATCCAGCCTTATTCAAATGGTTCCAAACGGTGTTTTGTGCAATCTTGGGCAATCGAATCAGTGCTTACATGACGGACAGACTCGATAATGTCCCCGATTTTATCGACAATTGCTCTTCTGGTGCGTGGTGCATCTTTGACATCGAAATTACCGGAACGGAATCGACGAAACCAAAATTGCGCGTGATTAGCTGTTACAGTATCAGGCCATAAACGCTATTTACATTTTCAGCCACCTGGTTTGTGTTTTGGCCCTTATCGAAGAAAAACTGTAATATATAGCGTATTTTCTCTTTGCAAGTAACCATCTTTGACGCGTACTCAAACCAAACTGAATCAACTAGCGGAACCCGATCGGTCTCATACAACGCGAGATACAGATAAATAACGCTATCTATTGGAAAAATAATGGATTTCTTTTTACTACCCCTAATATAATCACTAAATTACAAACCATTTTTTTAGTAGAAAACTCAAAGCATGTTTCTTGCCCCAGAGCTATGTTACTGTACCTTGAAATGAAAAAGTAAAATATAAAATCTCGCCGTTATTCTTGATACAAAATGAATTTATAAACAACACGTTTATATATTACTAGCTTTTACCCGCGGCTTCGCTCGCATCGAATCCATCAAATAAGTATTTTACTTTTTTATTTGGAATTGGCTCGTTCGTTGTCGGCTTGATGACTGAAATATTGAAATGATATCCTGATTCACCTTTACTGAAAATTAATGGATACTGCAAAGCGTCATAAAATGTATGAGTATCAGCTACGCGCTTTAACGCATTATCATGTTATATATATATTTCTCTTTCTACTCCATCTATATACTGGCAACGACGATTTACTTCATTTTGTTCATCACCCATAAAATACACCTCCAAAAATTTATGCTGATCATTATTTCCTGGAAATAGTGATCCAATTTGATGATATATTTGTCCTTGTACAGTAAAGGTTGGTGAAAATCCAGGCGTTCTTATCACTTTATCAACTCCGAAATATGTCATTTTAAAGCAAGAATTATACTTCCTTATTTTACTTAGAAATCGTTTTGACTCATCTGTGACACTAAACAATAAAGTTTTTAAAGGTTCTTCTGGTTCATCAAGTAATAGAAGTGAAACTTTACCAGTGCTGCAACACATTCCAGCAGTTTCATCTTTCCATTTAAAAGCATCACAATACTGACATTTTTTATCCATTGAGCCAATAACAATTAATTAAATAAAATAAAATTAGAATACTCAACTAAAGGATCATATTGAAAACCAATACCATTATTTTTTTTTCTTTCATTTTCATTTATTTTAGTTTTCTTTCATTTTTAATTTTTTCGACAAACAATCATTTCTGCCAAACTTTTTTTTTTCAATTTCAAAATTTTCAAATTTATTTTCCAAACATACATCCTCCAAAATAATTTTTTTTAATAATCCGTAAAAAATTTATAAATTTTGTAATAAAAAATATCCTATGTTCATTCTGACACCTCTAAGAGCATATGTACAAACTTTCATGATGATCTGTTAAGTAGTTTTTGCGTGAAAGCTTAACAAACAAACGGACTTTCGCATTTATAATATTAGTATAGATTACTATACCGTCGCATTAATCCTAAATCTGATCTAAATACTAAACTGCTCATCGCAAACATCGTAAACATGCCACGAAAGTGTTCTAACGACCCTGACATTTTTTGTTATGTGTGTGCAGAGTTTACTTTTAAATCTCAGCGTCGTAATTTCGCGTCAGTGAACAGTGCTGTTTAGGCTACTTTAAATTTCCAGTGAGGAATCAAGATAAATCCTGGGTTCCACATAAATGTTGTGTATCCTGTGTGAGACTGCTATTAGTTTGGGCTAAATAAGAACTCAGACACATGCCATTTGTTATACCAATGATTTGAACCAAACAAAAGGGTCATGTAAATGATTGTTATTTTTGTTTGACTCAAACAAAAGGCATTACAACCAAGTTTAAACTACCCAGGGCAAAAATTAAAAAAGGGAATATTTGTAAGTCCACAAATACGGAAATTGATAAAGGGTAAAAACTTTGAAGAAAAGCTGAAATTGTCTTTGAACAAACTCTAACTTGTCAGAATGGATTTTGTAGCTAGGGTTCCATACAATGCTAGCAGATTATTGGTGGAGCCTAAAAACAGAACTTCCAGAAGCCAAATATTCACAAAAATGTATCAATAAATAAATGAAATTGTTAATATGTTCATTTTTATTTTGTTCAAATATATAAAAAAAAATAATAAGGAATGGCTAGGTTCAAAGTGTAACATTTTACACTCACGCCATTTCAAGGATTAAAGCCTGCAAAATACTTTCAGGTGTTGACAAAACTTTATATTGGAAAATGTTGCCTAGGAAATTAACATTTATTATTCGACAAAATTGTGATTGAATTATGAACATATTTGGTATATTATTAACTTATCTTTTAGGTCATAGACTCACTTTGTTTCATTACTACATTTTGCTTTGTTGGGATATGTATATTAAAATCAACTCAATTAACTCAAATGGGACATATAAGTTATACACTCAAGTAAGAAGTCAAAATTTAATATAATGTGTATAAGTGGACCAAATTGTATAGTCGGATATGAGGTTTAGAGCAAGGTCTAGACTTAGCAGACCAATCGTCCCGGTTTGGCCGGAACAGTCTGGATTTCGAGTTAAGCGACCAGTCATCCCGGGCTTAGGCATTAAAAAAAAAAAGAATGAATTGAATAAAATTGTGTTGCTCTCTCACCTATAAGTATTATAGTCGCAATTTTCAGTGAATTTTAATATGGAAAAAATCGATAACTAAAAACCCGTCCCGGATTTTGCCGGGAAAAATATGGTCACCTCTATGGTCAGTCTAGACCAATTTCAATTATATTCAGCTCTAAACCACATTATTGGTTAAGAAATCCATTTATACCAACACATATTACGGTTTTCAACTCCACTCAGATCAGTTGAAGCTGAAGCAATTCAACTTCAGGTCCACCCAACTCTTCTTTGATATTACGAACTTCAACTATTTACCGTCTAAGTTTCATTGATGTTGCAACATAAAAAAAAAAGATTTAACAGATAACAGCTGACAATTTTTAAACGAAATATCAAAACAATTCAATTCAGTTATTGTTCCCGGAAAGGTGAATAATAATGGTATTTAAATGGATATTGATGACAAAAATGTTGGGCAAAACTGATGTGCTGCGTATTAGAAAAAGCCTTCGTGATCACTCAAATTCATTGCAACTGCCTAACACCAAGTAAGACAAAGTTTAATGTCAATTGAATGGCGTTTAAATAATGTTTGTTACATATTGATAAGATACTTTCGTTGTAATGATTTTTTTTCACAAAATCAGATGAGGGAACATTACCACAAACTCTCCGTTTCCTTGTATTTATTCTTACATGTTTCTTATCTTATCTTATATTCTTAATATGTAGAATAATAAAACTAAATTTGTTGATGTATACTGAAAGTGATGCCCTTTGGCATCAACGCACATGTTCATTTTTGAACATTAATTGATGTTCAATTCTAAACAAAATGATTAATTATACAAAAAATAAAATATGTGATTCCAAGAAAAAAACTAATAAAACTAAAACAACTCGCATGTACTCAATTATGCACCCGTTAAGCTTTCAACAAAAAATAGCAAAGTTTGTCGTAAGTTTGAATTATTTACGACTTAAATAAAACATTTAGCTGAAATGGTGCTTTATTGCGCCTGGTAAGAACTTTTTAATAAATAAAAAATATTGTTTTTAACAGTTATTACATTAATTTCATTGCTCTTCAAAATAATGAAGGAAGCTATCACCACGCATTGAGGAGAGTTTAATAGCCATGACAAGAGCAGGCTCTTCTAAAGCAGCTCGCTAAAATAAGCCACTGAGTGATCATAAGCGTTCAGAAAAGGCGAGATAATCCAAAGCACAAGTTAAGGGCACAGAAAAATTTTTGACAGATGCAGACGCACGTCTCATGATAAAAAATATAAATACGAACAAGCACTTGACACCAAAGAACGCATTCATAGAAATAAATAAAATATACATCCAAAATCGTGAAGTAATGGCCTACGGAACATAATTTTTTACTGATGCAGGTGATCTAAATCCGATTGATAATTTGTGGACAATCGTGAAAATAAAGTTGGGACAATACCGATCAACCCCAATGAATGTGGACGAGATTTGGCAACGGATACAGCGGTAATGACATAGTATTCCAAATGAAATTATACAGAATTTGGTGGAAAATATGCTAATCCGTGTACAAAGTGTTTTGTGCAATAAAGGGTTATGGACTAATAATAAAATTAGATATATTCTGAAAGTTTCTGTAAGGAGCCAATTTGAGTACATGCGATTTGTTTTAGTTTTATTTGTTTTTTTTCGTCTCATATTTTATTTTTTGTATTATTAACCATTTTGTTTAGAGTTGAACATCAATTAAAGGGAAAAAAACTTTTATAATTTTCTTAGCTACTTCTACACTTATGCAGGAATAAATAGACGAAGAACAAACATGCACTCATTTGTGCTAACTACTGCACATATATATAAGTGATCAGCATGACGAGATGAGTTGAAATCCGGGTGACCCGTCCGTGCTTGCTCTAGCTAAAGTAAAAATTAAGATTTAAGAAGAAGTTTGGTATTGTAGAATCAGCAATCAGACCACTGCCGCGCTCACAAAACGCCATTAATAGAAAATCTATAAAGTGCCATAAGTAAGCTCCACAATAAAATACAAGGCCTATGTCGGAAAAAAAACCTTTTCCTTCGACAGTGAGAAAATAGATGAAATCGGATGATAACTCCACCGACTCACCATGTAACGGTTCTGTTAAAAACTACTAAAGTGCGATTTGTTTGGACGATCTTGGAAAATGTTTTTGTTTTTTCTTAACAGACCGAATCGATATCGCTTATATTCAGTACCATTATGATTGAAGATGTCTTCTTTCATTTGATACTACTAATTTTTACAAAAAACAATGTTTGTAAAATATATATACAATTTTCTTAAAAAACAAGCAAGGAAGGGCTAAGTTCGGATGTAACCGAACATTTTATACTCTCGCAAAGTCAAATGGTATACTCGTTTGAGATTTCTTTGTGGATTGGCTGATATTTTCGGTAGAAGGTCAACTATAGGCACTGGGGTCCACATATTTAGTACTTAGGGGCTTGAACAGTTTTGGTTCGATTTAGAGAATTTTTGGTCACAAGGTGGCATACTTTAAACGTATTATTCCCGCAAAGTTTTACCCCGATACAATCATTGTTGCTTGATTTGCATACTGGAAAATGAAAGAATCAAATAGAAATTAATAGGTGTGGTTGTAATTCGATTTCTCCCATTTTCGCACTATAACGTAAAGATATCCCATACCATCCCAGAAATAAAATTTAATGTCTCTGGAGTGTTTAGTGCTTGATTTATCGCGCTTTTAGTAGTTTTTAACAGTACCATTATATGGGGAGTGGGCGGAGTTGCCACTCGATTTCAACTATTTTCACACTGTGGGTAGAGGTTCTAAAAAAATTTGCTTCCAGTGAATTTTGTTATTATAACATTAGCGGCTTAGGAGATATGCAGACTAAACCTATTAGAGGAGGGACCACGCCTACTTTAAAAAAAAATTTTAACTGCAGATGCCCCTCCCTAATGTGATCCTGTGTACTAAATAACAGTCTTATATCTTATTGCGGAGCTTAGTTATGGTAATTTATATGTTTTTGATTAATGGCGTTTTGTGGGCGTGGCAGAGGTCCGATCACGCCCATCTGCAATACCAACCGTCGCACGGTAACAAGAAATACATGTCGACGAAAGCGACGTAAGCGGCGCAAGGGTTCGATCACGTATCATGATATTGCACTGTGCATAATTAGGTATTTATTCGAAGAAGTAAGTGGTAGAAGAAGCAGCAATAAATATGTTTGCTGCGATGCAAAAAAAAAATATAACTTTTATCAAATGAAAGTTTTCATGATTTTTCATCTGCGTAAGCGATAACTTGAGTAAAAATTAGGATATCGTAATGAAACTTAGTACACGTGTTCCCTGGCAAAAACAAAATGAGGACGAGTTCGTTGATGGGCGTAATCGGACCACTGCCATGCCCACAACATGATATTAATCGAAAACATATAAAATGTCATAACTAAGCACAAAATTAAGATATAAAACTGTAATTTAGTGAAGGGAACGCAGTAGCAAGAGGCACCTGTGGACAAAAACTCTTGGGAAAAGTGGGCGTTACCCCGCCCTCTAATGTACATATCTCCTAAATCACTGATCACAATAACCAAATTAGCTTAAGCCACTTTCTATAAAAACCCCTACCGGTAGTGTGAAAATGGATAAAATCGGATTATAACCCCGCGTTAAAAACTACTAAAAGCACGATAAATCAATAACTAAATGCGTCAGACATTTAATTTTACACCCAGAATGATACAAAAGAGCTTTATAGGAGGCGAGGCCGAAATTGGGCGTGGCACCGCCTACTTTTATATAAAATCACAAATCTCTGGACTTACTAGACCAATTTCAACCAAATTCGATACAAACATTATCCTGACGATCCTATACCTGATGTCAAAAATTATTGCATCAGCCCAATATATCCTATTTAATGATTTTCGACTTTCCACCTGACTTTAAACCGTTAAGTTAAAAGTTTTCTTATAAGTTATAAAATTATATTAATCGTTTGCCGCTCAATACAAATGAAATTGGTCTTGGTCTAAACCTCATATCGCTAATACAATAAATTCCGATCATTTGGTTGACATTTTTCACATCAACGCAATATATTTAATTTAGCGTCTTCGGTTGAGTTTATATCACATATATAATATAATATCTAATTTGAGGATGGTTTTAGTATAATTTTTGTTGACGGGAAGTAAAATATAGTAATAAAATTAAGTGAGCCATCAAAATAAGTTTATATGATACCGAATTTGATTGTAATCCATTCACGATTTCTTCAAACAATGAAGTCTAACTCTTTCTTATTTCCCCTGCTTTGGTCCTTGCAATTTACAACAGTAGAACATGGCACTATTTGTGCTTCTTCCGTATCTATCCATATCATGTAGGTTATCAAATTGAATGTTTCTGACGTATTTGTTTAGTGAATTATCGCACTTTTAGGGTTTTCAATGAAACCGTCACCCCCATGGGCGTGGCATCCGATGAAATCCATTTTTGCATTGTATGAGGAGTAAGAAGGATATATGTACTTTAAACCTATCAGATGGAGCCATTTGTGGGCGTGCAACATCAACCTTCACAGGGTGCCCTGTTTTATCAACATATTTTACTCAAATTATCGGTTGAACATACAGACAGACCTACACTCACCGGGAATTCAACTAGTATCGCCATCCTGATCATATATAAATCTGTATATAACACTAGAAAGGAAAGAGTAAAGTATAACCATTCTTTAACACACACATATACTCGATTAAAATTGCGTTTTCTTCAATTTCTAAATATAACCCGGTCGATCCAACACCGGGGATGTCCTAAGTTCTTTCGAGAACTACTTTCTGAGTGTTGACACTGTTTTTTTTTTTTTATAACACCAAATTCAGGAATTTTTATACTAAATCGCATCCGATACGCCTTTTTAATTATATTTTTAGGACCTAATATAAAACTATTTAGACCTCCATATTAAGGATATATATGTAGATATGTATGTATATAGGTAATCCCTACTTATATTATATAATATTATAAATGCGAAAACCTGTTTGTTTGTTACGCTTTCACGCAAAAACTACTTAACCGATCATCATAAAGCTTTGTACACATACTCTTGGAGGTGTCAGAATGAACGTATCGTATGTTATTTAATAAAAAATTTTTTTTTTTTAATAATATAAAGAATTTTTTTTGTCAATATAACCTCTTAATCTGGCTACTTTAACGCTATCTAGTATTCCAGTAATGAGGCTCAAGCCTGAATACTATAAAACTATCACACTGTACTACCGACAGCCACGTTAACATCCAATCAAATTAACTCTACAATGGAGACTATACACTATACTTCCATAAACTATACTTTCAGTATAGTATGCTATACTACGGAGACTAAACACTATACTTCTATAGTGCACCTTCAGCTATTTTGAGTTTTTCTTCATTGTTATTTCTTCTGACACGGAAATCTGCGCTACCAATAAATTCTTCGTCGGTCCGTTAAGCTAAAATTGCACGAAATTAAGAATCTGAAGTTCACGTAAAGCAGAGAAGACAACAGCAAGCAGTGCGATAACGTGTTTTAAGAGCAGCTGAAACTCCTCTTCAGACACGAGTTAGTTCAGAAAGACCAGCTATCAGTAGGCAGCTAGAAGAGCGAGGGAAATTCCCAATTCCCACAACAACTAGTTCTACGTCACCGGAATTGACGCGGATTTTATCCGACCAAAGGCTGTTATTTTGGCGATCTAACCCTGTTTGGATCGGTAAGTTCTAGGTTAAGTTTGTCGTCATTAGAGCAACACCTAGCAGCAGGGTTGCTCCGTATCCTCTTGACCCGTGCTGGTATCGAGTCCAGCCCGGGCCCCGAGGAATTCTTTTGCTGCATATGCGATAAAAGGCTCCATCCAAGCTCCACCTCGGTTAGGTGCAATACATGCAATGGATGGAGCCATCTTAAGACCTGCTCAGGCCTTAAGACTCATAGGGAGTGGACCACAAGTTACGTGACCCCATGCTGCCAACGCAATACTGCGACACCAGCCTTAACGCCGCCACTCCAGTTGAGTGACCAAGAAAGGACCTCTACGGCCCTAAGAAGCTCTAGGCAGTATGACTCCTAGTCTGACCTCACGAATTGATTTCTGTGGACAACCGCACCTTCATTAACTTTAACAAAGCTAACTGAGTCGGCTTCACAGAATTTACTAAGAGCACCTTCAACGCACTACCCATTCCTATGGACGTTATCTTTGGTGAGCGCTTCATTCCGGCTGGAAGATTCGCAGAACTTCGCACTTCCTAGCCGAAGCAGCTGTATTAGCAAACGAGCGCGACACCGTGTGATCCCCGAATAAGGGATCTCAATTTGGATATTCGGCAAATAGTAAATCAACATAAGCGGACAAAATGGAAATATAGAGCACCTGAAGTAGTGCAATCTCGCCACCGATGTAAGTAAACTTACTGTCAAGGTCTTGTGTAAGCCGAGGGAACGACAAAGGTGTGTCTTATTTTCCGATAACTCTCCTTGTCCCAGTAGTGAAGACACTTGAGGCCTTGCTACTCCCGACATTCACTCACCACCTGACTCTAGCAGACCATCAGCATGGCTTCCGAAAAGTGCACAGCACTTAGCGTCATAAACGCCCGGACAATTCATGGCCTAAACCAGAAGCCACCCTGCGAGAGGACAATCCTCGTAGCGTTGGACTGTTCAAAAGCTTTTAACACAGTCAATCTCACAACGCTACTTGAGGACCTGAAACAATCAACGCTCCCCCCAGGGCTGAAGCGGTGGACTATGAACTACCTGAGCTGTCAACCACCACTGCACGATATTGACGTCGGGCAATGGAATCGATGGCGTGTGCTCAAAAGTAAACAGCTAGCTCTCCGACCTTTCTCGCTTCTTCTCTGCAAAGAGTCTAACACTCTCCCCCACTAAATCCACAGCGACCATCTTCACAAATTTGACGAAGGAGTACAGGCTGGACCTGAACATTTCAGTCGATGGCACAAAAATTCCGACAGTTAATAACACTAAAATTTTAGGCGTCACATTGGACAGTCTGTGCTCCTTCACTCCTCACACGACCGCGATAACTGCCAAAGTACAGAGCCACAACAAAATCCTCAAATCGCTTGCCGACAGCTCTTGAAGAAAAGATAAAGAAACGTTGTTGGCAACATACAAGGTAATCGGCTGGCCGGTCTTAAACTATGCATCAATAATATGGTCGCCTGGATGTAGTGCCACGCAGACGAAGAAGCTTCAGACTTGTCAGAACACTGCACTCCGGACTATCATGGGATGTCTCTTGATGTCCCCAATAGAACACCTGCACAGTGAGGCCCTTATGCTTCCAGTTAAGAAACATAACGAGCTCCTCTGGAAGCAGTTTCTATGAAAACACCCCTGCAGTCTGCTTGCACCGCAACCGCCTCCTAGGAACATCAAGAGGTCATTCCTTGATTACGTCGACGACATCAGATATTACGCCGACCGGACTTCGGACGCAACGAACTATAGAGCCATTAACACCTTCATCGACTCCCTCTCAGTGAATTGCGTACTAGGAGTCAAACCACCACCCATAGCAGACGTAGAGCTCGAGCTGAATATTGTAGCAGGTTAAACTCCTACTTATTCAGAATAGACCCCGACATTCCAAACATATGTTCTGCGTGCAATGAGGCTCCGCATGATACTAACCACCTCTTTGCATGCCCAACAAACCCAACTCATCTAGCACGCTTTTCCCTATGGTCCGACCCCGTCGAAGCAGCCTGTTTCTTGGGCCTACCATTAGATGACCTCGACGACAATACTAGATAACCGTTACAACAAAAAAATCTTTATTTTTTTTTTTGATCAGTGTTATGAACTAAAGAATTTGTTCCGAGATCATAGCACTGTCTTAGGTGGCAATCTATGTAAATTTCTTGAAGATACCTTGCCAAATAAAAAGTAGGAAGTACTTAATTTTGATCGAGCAGTTGGTATCTTATAGTGGTCCAATATTTGCAGTTCGGACAAATCAGCTTCTTGAGGAGAAAGGAATATCTGCAAAATTTCAAATCGATATCTCAAAGACTAGATCGAGTATATAGAGACAGACTGGCTGAATCGAATCAACTCGTCTCGCTGAGAACTCACATTCCGTTGTTGGATCGGCCAGGATTAATTTTTGAAGCGCGGCCGAAGGCAGAAAAGAGTTCTAAGCGTAGCACGAATAATGTGGGTGTTTGTTTTCCGCATTTCTTGAATTTCTATAGCAATATATAATGTATATGATAACACCTACCAATTGTTGCCATGCAAACTTTTTGTGGTATATTTGTCTAAATAGAATTAAATAAAAAGTTAAGTATTGAACTTAGCTGTTTTTACAATGATTAAAAATTATTTAATGAAATGTTAATGTAAGAAAGATGCAGTGGTAGTGAAAATTCATTATAAACTGAAAATAAACCATGAGATCCTCCTCCATCAGCCTATACCCGTTTTATATACGAATTTAGGATATATACTTTAAAATATCTATATTTTTACTTTAAAACTTTGTTTCTGAAGTATAAATTTTCCACTTTGGCAAGTAAAACATGACGAAGCGCCAAATTTTGTTATGGCAAGTGCAATGGTACATAAATATATAGACATATTTTCACATTCACCAACAACACTTACCAAATATCAGATCTAGATGTCAAAACCGTCACAGCATTTATATATCCATTGTGATCTATTGATATCCACATAATATCGTTTAAATTGGACATAATAAGATTGCACACTTTGGTTGAGCTTAAAAATTCTTGTCGCTTTCCATCAGCATAAGTAACTTCGGCTTTTAACCTGTACAACTTATCCATTTTTGCCAAAGACTGTTAATAATTAGTAAATAAAAATTAAACTACGTAGAATATTTTAGGTAAATGTATAGTTTAGGTCCCCAATCGGGGAAAACTTTAGTATACCGTCCTAGGCTTTCGGGGATAAAATGGGTATGGGCGGGTAGAGGAAAACCTCCAGATCAAGAATATATATAGCGGGAAACTTATAGTTTTCGAGATATTTACGTTTAAAGTTGAAAATTTCAACTATTTAAAGTACGCATTTTTTCGATTTCACATGAGTTATACACTTATATTTTCCACTTTTATATCCACTAACACTTCACTAATTCGCTTGTACACATTTATTTTATATTATATAGGGCAAAAATAGTTTAATTCAATAATTAAATTATTGTTAAATGCTATTAATTCTGACAATAACAAAAGGGTTGCAAAATGTCAAATAACCAGTGTTATCTTATCGACATCTTTTGTACTGAAAGAAATTAAAACAGATAATACCCCAAATACAGGAATCCAAAACCTAGAGAAATAAACTATTACAGAGCATTGATGTTAAGTATTACGTTATACCCTTTATGACAATATTACTTTTTCTTGTAGAACCTCTTTTTGCGTTGGCGGCCTTCGGCCGCGCTTTAAAAAAATTAAACCTGGTCGGTCCAACACCGTGATGTAACAAGGTCTTCTCGCGTAGAACTCCTTTTTTGCGTTGGCGGCCTTCGGCCTGGTCGGTCCAACACCGGCGTGTATCAGAATATTTTTCGCGCAGAGCTTCTTTTTGCGTTGGCGGCCTTCGGCCGCGTTTCAAAATAATAACCCTGGTCGGTCCAACACCGGGGTGTACCAAGGTTTATACGCGCAGAAATTCTTTTTGCATTTTGTTATTGTCAAAATCAATAATATTGAAGAATGATTTAAATATTCAAATAAAGCTATTTTTGCAGCATTTAATATAAAAAAAAATTTCTAAAAACGAATTAGTCAAGTGTTAGTGGCTATAAAAGTGAAAAATAAGAGTGTATAATTCATTTTCAACCGCAAAAATACTTACTTTAAATAGTTGAAATTTTCAACTTTAAACTTAAATATCTCGAAAATTATAAGTTTCCCGCGGCTATATCTATATATATTCTTGATCTGGACGATCTCCTCTATCCGCCCATACCCATTTTATCCCCGAAAGCCTTGAACGGTATACTAAAGCCGAACCCCCAACAGTCTTATTTTTAAGCGTAGATTACAAATTCGTGAGCGGAAAGTGAATTTGTTCAATATTTCTATTTTTTTTTTTTAATTTTTTCAAAAATAAACTAATAAAAAAAAAAGATTTTTTATTTTTTTGATAAATATGCATTATAAATTTTTTTTATACATTTAAATTGTTTTATTTTTTTCTTTGTAAAAATCACATATTGTTCAAGTTTTTGCAGCACCAATATGGTCGCCTAGATGCAGTGACACGCAGAAGAAGAAGCTTCAGACCTGTCAGAACACTGCACTCTGGACTATCGCGGGATGCCTCTTGATGTCTCCAATCGAACACCTACATAGTGAGGCCTGTATGCTTCCGGTTAAGGAACACAACGAACTCCTCTCCAAGCAGTTTCTGCTGGGATGTTTTCGTAGAAACCACCCCTGTAGTCACCTGCTTGTAGAGGAGCCGCCTCCTACGAACATCAAGAGGTCTTTCCTTGATTACGTCGACGACATTAGGCAGTACGCCTACCGGACTTTGGACGCAATGAACTTCAGACAGGCACTGACCGTCATTCACAGTGGAGCCATCAACACCTTCACCGACTCCCTCTCAGTGAATGGCGTATTACGAGTCAAACCACCACCCATAGCAGACGTAGAGAGCTCGAGTTGCCTCGCGAAACCAGAGTGACCCTCGCGCAACTTGGTTCTGGATACTGTAGCAGGTTAAACTCCTACTTATCCAGAATAGACCCCGACATACCAAACACATGTCCTGCGTGCAATGAGCATGACACTAACCATCTCTTTGCATGCCCAACAAACTCCACTCATCTAACACCCTTCTCCCTATGGTCCGACCCCGTCGAAACAGCTCGATGACCTCGACGACAACGAATCTGGAATTTATCACCCAAACGGGGACTACGTAACCGTTACAACAACAACAACAACCGCCAGTACGGAAAGGAGTTCGACGATAAAGAAATTGTGGCCGTTACATTTCTTTAGTATATTTTTTTCATAAGAAAATGGTTACCACGCTGAACTGGTAATTACAGCTAAGTGATCTGAATTCTACAGAATTTTGCCGCTACAACAACAACTAAGTGACTGGAATTTGTGATATGTGCAGTGTGTTAAATAAATATTGAAAAATATACATAAACTATTGAAAAAATTCACTTTCCGCTCACAGATTTGTAATCTAAGCGTATAAATAAGACGATTTAAAAAAAAAATTATTTTTTGAGTCCTCCTTAGTTGGGGGACCTAAACTATACATTTACCATATTTTTACCTGAAGGTTTTGTATTTGAATACCAGTTAAAGCTTCCTGGTTTGTTTTAGCGAATCCAATATCCAAACTTGATATTGTAACATTTCCCCGATATGTAAAACTGTTGAGACTTTTAGGGTCAATCGCATGACTTAACTCAATATTTAGCCAATTATCATATTCCAAATAACCCTGAAAAAGAGCTGTCATTACTAATATAATTCGAAACAAAAAAAAAAACTTACGAAGCTGAATTTATAATCCATAATAAGTACTAAAAGGAAATATAAACGTTTGAATATCTCCATAATTCTAACTGCGCAACTATATTAAAAGATTAAAATGTACATCGAAGTTTTTACGGCATGTATCGATTCATAAAGAACGATAGGGTGACGATCATGGGTGATAGAACCAAATCGAACCAACGATAAATAGCCAACAGCAATTGCCAGTTCATACAAAGACTATTTTGTAACCCAAACCGCGTAATGGTTGGCGAGGAGACGACGAGCAGAGACGAAGGGACCTGCCAATCCCCGGTGGAAGATATTTGGAATAAAAATATTATGGATTTTTAATACTTACCAAAAGATACTAAAATCCGGTTATAAAGTAGGCCTTAAAAATATAAGTACCGGGTATTCAATACATTAAGGAATTTCCGACTTAAATATATCTTTGAAACTATTAAGCGGGTATTATGCATATAGTTCTACCACATGCATGGTAATTACTTGTCAGCAACATGTAAGACCACTAAACCACCACATACAACTTAAATATGCAATACAATCTAAGTGATGTGTAGCCAAGGCCACAAACATTTGCGAAAATTTTATGAAAAGGCATGACAGAAAAATTCGATTCGAGTTGCAGAAATCTCCCCATCTAAACGCAGTTCAACTAGACAGCGAATGATCTAACTTCAAACTTTTGTTAAAGATCTGCTATATAAGGGCTGCCGGATTGTGCAAAAAATAACAATTCTATTTAGAGTGTTGCCGTTAGTAAGAAGTAAGAAGTTGTGAATCCGGATAATGAGTAGTAAAGCGTTAAGGTGTTCGGATTACAAAGAAAGATAAGTGTATAGCCATTAAATTGGAACCTTTATTTAACAATCCTGTGATCGAACTCAAATGTGGGTAACAAGGTAAACGAATTATCGAGAAATGCGTTACGATTCGTATCAGAATTAGGATTGTCAAATAAATTCCCAAATAGAGAATTGTTTTAAAATGGCAAAGTTTAACGATCTGAGGATTCCATAACTAAATAAGGTGCTGGAAAAGCGTGGTTTAGCAACAAATGTAGTAAACTCCAAATTACAATCACAGTTACGAGAGGCCATTGGAGGCGCACGGGCCTCATATATCAACACAGATGTCCTCACAGTTGGAAAAGCAAGAATCGTGTGTAGCAGTAGAAGGGTTCTTACAATCAGAAGGTAAAGAAGCTTGTATACCAGCACAAGTACCCTTACAGTTGCGCTGATTGCATTACACTAATCTTGATTTCTAATTCCAACAATATATTTTAATTGCTCTTAATACGACAACACTCTAACTGAAACTGTATTTGCTGCACAATCCGGCAACCCTTATTTAGAAGAACTTTAACTAAAGTTCGCCACTAGAATATCCTGTCATCCGTGTTCGTCACAATAGTGTAATGGATTTCTCGACAAATCATCAACTCTTGAGTCCGATCACTGGATTGTTAAATAAAAGTCCCAATTAAATGCCTATACACTAGTTAAACTAAGTTAAATAACCTAACACATATTATTTACTCGAGTTTACAACTTATTGCTTATAGCTCTTTATTCAGCAGCACTCTAATTAAAACTGTCCCTGCTGTACAATCTGGCAGCTTTTATAAAGATCGTTACGAAATCATCGCATTCAATAGAATTGAAAAATTAGCTAAACTTTGAATTAAAGCTATTTTTACAATAATTATTACTTAATAAGTATATTATTCTAAAATTTTGCCAATTAAAATTCTAAATCTAATGCATTGTATAAATCTACATTTAACCATACCAGGTATTCCAAAGTTCACTAATCCACACGCAAAAATGTTCCACTTGGTACGGGTTGCATACGAAAACATCCAAATGCCTGAAATCTGCTACAGTGTGTTGCCGTGTTATGTTTTAAAATTTATAACTTTAATGTTTTTATTCATATTCGAATATTTTTCGATTACCAAAATTCCTAAAGATTAAATTTGCATATAAAAAGTATATCGCTGTGAGTGTTTTAGAATATTTTGTAAATGTTATTTACTAATAGTACATTGAACTATTATATTGTTCATGAATTGTACCCGATTTTGTATATATATTAATTTTTGTTTCGATGAAATTAAAACCAGCAAGTTGTTCTGTCATGTATTTGTTAATGAGTAAATAAACTTTTTTTTCGAAAATATTTTTGATAGTTTTCATTAATGTTTTCTTTTACAAATACGTGTTCACAAAAAATTTATTTAAATCCTTTTATTTACATCTCTGTGCCAAAAAAGGCAGAGGGTCGGCTTTAGAATAACGTCCCACGCTTTCGGGGATAATACTGGTATGGGCGGATAGAGGAGATCCTCCAGATCAAGAATATATATAGATATAGCCGCGGGAAACTTATAGTTTTCGAGATATTTACGTTTAAAGTTGAAAATTTCAACTATTTAAAGTACGTATTTTTGCGAGTTAAAATGAATTATACACTTATATTTTTCACTTTTATATCCACTAACACTTGACTAATTCGTTTTTAGAAATTTTTTTTATATTAGATGCTGCAAAAATAGCTTTATTTCAATATTTAAATCATTCTTTAATTTTATTAATTTTGACAATAACAAAATGGTTGTGAATGTCAAAACATCAGTGTTGCCATACTAATATATTTTGCAAACGAAGAAAAATAAAATTAACAGAGAGATTGTATCCTAGATACAGGAAACACCGCAAAAAGAATTTCTGCGCAAAAAAAACCTTGATACACCCGGGTGTTGGATCGACCAGGGTTATTTTTTTGAAGCGCGGCCGAAGGCCGCCAACGCAAAAAGGAGTTCTGCGCAAAAAACCTTGATACACCCCGGTGTTGGACCGACCAGGGTTATTTTTTTGAAGCGCGACCGAAGGCCGCCAACGCAAAAAGAAGTTCTGCGCGAAAAATATTTTGATACACCCCGGTGTTGGACCGACCAGGGTTATTTTTTTGAAGCGCGGCCAGAGGCCGCCAACGCAAAAAGAAGTTCTACAAGAAAAAAGTAATATTGTCATAGAGGGTATAACATAATACTTAACATCAATGCTTTGTAATAGTTTATTTCTCTAGGTTATGGATACCTGTATTTGGGGTATTATCGGTTTTAATTTCTTTCAGTTCAATTACAAAAGATGTCGATAAGGTAACACTGGTTATTTGAAATTTTGCAACCCTTTTGTTATTGTCAGAATTAATAGAATTTAACAATATTTTAATTATTGAATTAAACTATTTGTGAACTATATAATGTAAAATAAATGTGTACAAACGAATTAGTGAAATGTTAGTGGATATAAAAGTGGAAAATATAAGTGTATAACTCATTCGAAATGGGAAAAATGCGTACTTTAAATAGTCGAAATTTTGAACTTTAAACCCAAATATCTCGAAAACTATAAGTTTCCCGCGGCTATATCTGTATATATTCTTGATCTGGAGGATCTCCTCTATCCGCCCATACCCATTTTATCCGCGAAAGCGTGGGACGTTATACTAAAGTTTTCCCAAGGCAGATTTCGATCAGGTGATCTCAGCTGTGTTTTACATATAGGAACAGCCGATTCTAGTTGTTAATAAAAGATTATGCAATAATCTAATGTTTAAAACTCGAAGTTGTCAAATAAATAACTAGCTTGCGACTTCTGATTACTAAATTAGTCGATAGTGAAATGTTATCGAATCATTTTATTTCTCTGATCACACATTCTTCCAATGGGATAAACGTTGTTAATAGACAATTATGTCAATAACTTTGTTATATAAAGGTGAAATGTTATCTGTGAGTGTTCGATCTTGGAGGCAGTGTACTATAGTTTTACACCGTACACTTTCAACGAATACAAATGAATATCAATGTGAAAATGTTGCTAAGAGTAAAGGCACTAACCGGTCAATGCTGTTAACCCAACATAGAAATGTATTATTTGGTATTATGCCGTACGATGAACCCTGTTCTTGGGTTCACTTGACGGAAAAGTATACAAAGAAATTATTTGGACGATATGGCTTATCATCAAGAGCTGATCCTTGCGTGTGTTTCAAAGCCAAAGGGCTACAAGAAACAAATGAAAAACATTCGTTGGATCATATGCTATTACATCAAAGAAATAATAGAATGAAGGAAAATCAATATATAAAGAGCAGAGAAATGGAGGTCGCTGCTAAGCTAGAAAAATTAGAACAGTGGAAGTTGGAAATGAGGAATAAAATTGCCAAAAAGGAAGCAGATGCATTAGCAGCAAAGCAGCAGAAACAAAGACTGATAGAGGAAGTTCGAAGACATTTTGGTTTTAATGTAGACCCTCGGGACGAAAGATTTAAAGACATGTTGGAACAAAAAGAGAGGGAGGAAAAGAAAAAACATAAGGAAGCTAAACGGAAGGCCAAAGAAGATAAACTAATGGCGAGAATTGCAGGAAATAATTCCAAAACTTAAGAAGAAATATATATACAGATAATCATATTGATAAATGGTTTATAAATTAAAACTGCATTGTAACTATTTATTTTCAATGTTGCTGTGTAGAATCTAGACTCTAAAATCGAATCGTTTGAGATAACTATAGAAGACACATTAGTTATTAAGATATTTGTTGACAAAATCATAACATTTCAAATCTAATAGAAACTTTTTCAGCTTATCACTTGTTTAACATATTTTATATATATTTTTCACAGAAGTTTCGCAGATTAAAGAGTTTTGTTGTTTGCTAAGCGGTTGTCATTGTTGTTTTCTAATCAAGATAGATAGGGAGTAAAAATAGATAACTTTATGATGAATTAGTATGTGTTTTCCTTGGCACTATGAGAAGGATAGTATTGCACCACCCTCATTCAAAGCTTCTTGGGAACATGTCCTTCAAGCACTACCTCGTGTCAAAATGAAAATGTGTGAAATTCGATGACACAAAAAAGAAAAGAAAAGGAACCTTCTTTGTATCGGTTAGTATGAGTCATCCTAGAAAAAACCCCTTGCAACTGGGTGTTGAATGTAGCCTTCTTAAGACCTGCTCAAGCCTTAGGTAGATAGGTAGGTAGATTGGCTGTTTTTCGACACACCTCGACCGATGGCTGCGATTCTTTTCCTATCGAGAGCCTTTCAATCCCATAGGAGATGTTTAATGGTCCTCCTGACAGCTGCAACAGCCGTTATATGGCGTTCCAAGTCTGCTGGCATGTCTGCCTATAAGACAGTGGCCTGTTAGTAGTCCTACTAGAGTTATTATATCATTCCGTTTGAGTTTTAACAGTCTGCATGTATGTTTATAACATGTTTATCGATTAAATATCTACAAGTCAGAGGACAGAAGCATATATATGGTCTCTTTACCGGAATCTAGTTTTAGAGTGGTGCCTGTTCCGGATAGTTCATCTGCTACACAGTTCCCGGGAATATCACTATGTCCTGGGACCCATTGCAGTTTTATCGTGAAATAGGATGTCGATCCGCTAAGATCAAGGCATAATTTCATTGTCCTAGACGAAATCCTAGGAGACATTAAGGATATCAAAGCCGCTTGGCTGTCTGTATATATAAATATATTTCTTGTTGTGATCACACTCGTTGTCAGTACAAGAAGGCTTTCTTTAATTGCTGTGATCTCGGCTTGGAAGACACTGCAGTGGTCTGGAAGCCGAAAGTCAATTTTGGCATCTAGTTTAGCTAAGAAGGAACCTCCGTCTACTCGGTTATCTAGTTTGGAACAATCCGTGTAGATGCTTATCTTTGTCTCCTTGATAATCCCCTTAATACTAGCGATAGTAGGGAGGATTCCCTCAGTCTAAGAACTGACTTCGCTGCCATTGGCTTGCAAAACATAATGAAGGCGATTCCATTGCCCGACGTCAATATCGTGTAGTCATCAGCGTACGAGGTCATGGAAACTCCCTCTGGTGGCTGGGGAAGTTTCGAAATATAGAAATTAAACAGTAGCGGGGAGAGGACGCCGCTAAGTTTGGAGTTTTGACCTCGAAACAGTACGGATGTTATCGGACGATAAAACTCCCTTTTGTTGGCGGGTTTCGCAGGCTTCGGTAGTGGGGCCACTCTTCCGACTTTCCACACATCGGGTATTTGAAGAGTGGTCATCGACAAGTTGAGGACCTTGGTGAGATTGTTTACTCCCGTCGAGCCTAGATGTTTTAGCATCAGCATGCTTATTCCGTCAGGGCGAATGGATTTGGACGATTTGGCATTTGTGATTGCACTCTGAACCTCCCCATCGGTGAAAGTGGTGCGCAGTCTTTTGGCATTTTATGCAGTCGTCTGGTAACACATCGTTTGGCCTTGTCGGTCGAAGGGTGCAGTGGAAACTGCCGGCTAAAATAGCTCGCGCACAACTCCTTTTCATATTGTAACGGATTTCTCGATAAATCGTCGACCTTGTAACTCACACTTGAGTTCGATCACTGGATTGTTAAATAAAAGTCTCAATTTAATGGATGTATACTTATCTTTATTTCTAATCCAAACAACTTAACGCTTTACTACTCATCAGAATTTACAGCTTCTTATATCTCAATTGCTCTCTTCATGGCAACACTGTAATTAGAACTGTGTTTGATACATAATCCGGCAGCCCTTATACAGTAGAACTTCGCCACTAGAACATTCTGGCATCTACGAATTCGCTTTCTAGTTGATTGTGGCAATTTATTGTCAATTCGATTTTGTTTTATCATTCGTGTTTGTCACAGTAACAGCTGCATGTTAGCCTTTTGGCTTATATTTTTATGCGTTTATATGCAATCATATTTATTGATATGAATTTCATTATGCGAATTTTTATGAATGCTTCCAAAACTGATAAAACTCTACTTAAATTATGGAATTTCAAAATAATACTTATAGTCAATTTGGACATTTAATAATTTTATTTAGTTTTTTTACATAGTATACATTCCTAATAAATATTTTGTTTTATAATTGTTACTTATAAGAGATTAAATTTATTACAACATATATATACATCTTTTATCATATTAATCTTATACAGTCTCATGTATGTATATCTGCACATGCGCATTTGAATGTACGAATTCAGAAATTCAAATCATGCTTTTATCACTTATCAATACACTATATGTGCGCGTATTGATTTATATGTACACACATATACGTACTTTCAACAGGGAACCTCGCTTCATTCATAAAAACAGACAGCCCAACATCTCTCCGAATATGCGCTTGCCTACAAGTGGCTTTTCGCGACGAAGGCAAAAGCTAAAAATCTTGAATTGAACAAATTTTTGATATTCCCTCTAGAAGGGAAAAGTGGCAACCCCGCAAATATTGTATGAGTATTAAAATATTTTAGAATAAAAGTGACAAGATAGTATATTTGTGGGTTTACAATTTAAGAAACTTTTTAAAGATTATATTCAATATTCCTCTGATTTATATACACAGTAAACCCCGGATAAGTACCACTCCTTCAATCCCTCTTATCTGCCTGTGTCTTGCTGCATCTCAAATACATATACATATATATAAATACATAGAAATTATTATTTTTACTACCATTCGCTTGAGTACAACAGTAGCTTAGGTACCACAAAGCACAAAAATCTGCATCGTGTGTTTTGCACTTAACCGGGATTGACTGTATTTGTCAAACAATGTACGTTGTAAGTATTCTTATATTTTGTACACACATCTGCCTGTATATATGAACATAACATGTTGACTTTGTTTCCATTTACGCATGCCACGTTGTATATGAATAGGGGTTGATTTTCCACTTGCCCATATGCGATGTATGTTTGTACAAGTGTGTATGGTTCTGTTGGTCAAATTTACCTAAGTGTGTTTTTGGCGTATTGGCATGCTGTTAATATACATACATATGTACATACATGTAAATAATTGTTGATAATTTTTCTTTCAAACTAACAATTGCGTGATTTAAAAAAATTAATATTTAATAATAAAAATTATATTAGGCCTAATACTTGTTTACGTTTTTTTCCATTTAAAATAGAAATTTCTCACACGACTTAATAATTAAATTAAGTCAATTAATTCCACCTACTCTTTTAAACACAATTTAATCCATCTTGAATAAGTGCAATATTAGTGTTTAAAAAGGCTAGGCTCAGTTGCAACGCTAATAAAAAGAAAAATAACAAAAAATTGGAAATATTATAAAATAAAACTGAAAGTAGAAGAAAAGCTGAAAATATAAGAAAAATAAAAAAGAACCTGTAAATAGAATAAAAAGCAAAACATTAAAAAAATGTAAATACTTTTTCATTTTGTTAATTCATTACTCACCCGAGCATAACATTCATCGGACTGATTAAACCACTGAGGAAAAACGTTTTCAGTTTTTTGATGTATAGCAGACAACATCAGACAACGAACATTAGAATAATGAGCATATTCGTTGAAGAGCTTGACGTACCACATCATTTGCAGTGGACACACTTTGAAGACCCTATCACTAGGATTGACCAGCCTTAAATCGCCGTCATCCTTATAGTTTTTTGCTCTGATTAGGGCCTCCGAATAAAGCTTTAAATCGCTCTGTGTCTTTGTGCATTTATCGCAATGAATTTTACACAGAATTTTCTGGTAGATACCATAGCCTTTGTAATACCATTTGACTTGGACGTCAGCTTCGTCGTCGTCTTCAACGAAATTTTCGTCTGGAATAACTAAATTTTCCAACCCGAGTGGCTCATATTTCTTCACATCTTCATGCCGATCTTCGCGGCCTGGGTTCCAATCTAAATTTACACCGTCATCATCCTCACAATTTTTATTTTTATCGATATTAATCGTTCACCCATATAATGAATTTCTTTAGCAGTGGGATGTATATTCATACCCTGACTGGCTCGGACTCTATGAACAAATTTTCCCACGCATCCTGATTTAATTTCCCAATGTTTTATTTCCTTTTGATCCTTAAATAGCTCATTGGAAAACATTATCATTCCCCTAATCGTTTTGCGGAAACTGTCAATACATTTCAACGATTACTATTCGGAAATTTAATTGAGTTTAAAAACTTTATGTGGTCATAGAGGCGTTGGACCTTCTCGGAATAATTTTTTAAAAGCGGATATTTGAGAGATTTTCTTCAAAAATAACTGCGTAGGCTTTACACATTTTTTTCAAATATTTTCCAGAGCCGAATAGATTTTGGCTATAGGCCATTTCTATGCCAGCCGCGACCTGACATTTAAACTGACATTTTTTCAAAGACGCCGGGATATATGTGGGACTTTGTAAGTTTCGGACAAATCTTAAAATGTGTATTGCTCTGATCGACAGAGTATAGTTTTTTTTATAACATTAAAACTGACTATTCCATCAGGAGTTGAAATATCATATTTCATCAACGTATTGCGGACGGATCTTTTTTGTAGAACCTTTGTGCATGTCTTCACTAATTTCAATTAAATTGAAAATTGAAGAATTTGGTCCCCTATGATCGCAGCCTTTACGTTGAGGCCAATCGACTTCGGTACTGCAATATTTTTATTCGAAATTTCAAATAAATAGTGTGTGAGAAGTCCATCTTTGGAAATAAAGTAAGAAAACACATATTTCCAACTTGAACTTAACCCTTTTATTACAAAAAAACAACACTTACCTATTTTCTTTTCATCATCAATAATATCCCTAACTCGATTACAAGTTAGATCGAACTTTGTGATGATTTCATCAAATATCAGAACGCAAAACGTTCTAGAACGGACATATTTTTGGCAATTTTGCCTAAATTTCCCATGACATTGGAATCGACGCCAGGGACAACATACCTAATGGTGCG